CTGTTTATTATAGCAAAATTAAATTGTAAAATATTTAGAAAATCGATGTGTTTGTTGTCAAAGTTTGTTTGGATTGAATAAAAATGATATGAAATTGTTTAATTTGCATTTGACAACTTTATTAAAAGAATTAAGCTATCCATAAATTAAAGAGTTATATTAAATTGCTTCTGGTCAGATTTGGTCATTTTAATGTGTAACACTAATAGTTATTTATTCGACGAGTGTGAGTGTAAATCGGACGGTTTATTTGACCGAGTGGATTTTTAAACCACGAGTGTAACGAGTCCGATTTACACTCAAACGAGTTGAATACAACATTTTATTCTTCGAATTAGACTCAACAAGGCTTAAACGTGCTTTAAATCTGTTAAAAATAATTTGACGTTTTGTATTGTGAAATGCCAAACAGTTGTCAAAACTTTCTTACACGGGAGAAAAAACATAAATTTTGACAGTGTCGAAGAATAAATGTTTTTTATTAGATATTACTAATAATAATATTGTTTATTTTATTATACCATTTAAAACGGCAATTACTTGTTATCTTAGTAAATAAATAACATCAAACATTCATTAAAATTATTTTTTATTTTAACTTTTAATTGCGGTATAAAGTTGTGAATTTTTCAAAATATTTTTTTATTTATCTACTCAATTAAAAGTAAAATCGGTCACTAAGCTTCACTTCAAACTGAATATACTGTTAAATATGAAATGACGTTTACAATGCAAAAGATTTATTATTGTGGTTTATGGGTTCAGCCTGTAAGGGTTTGGGCGGTTTATTAGGAGGACAATCTTTTCTACGCTGATTGTAGTCTGTAGATAGATATACAGATAAATTTACAGATATGCAGATAGATCTACAGCTACAGATTTACAGGTCTGTAGATAGATTTACAGATAGATCTACAGGTCTGTAGATAGATCTACAGTTTTAGGTTTGCTGTTAGACTTACAGATAGATTTACAGGTACAGGTCTGTAGATAGATCTACAGCTATAAGTCTGTACAGATCTACATATAGATTAGATCTGCTGTTACAGGTCTGTAGATAGATTTACAGCTACAGGTTTTTAGACATATCTACAGATAGATATTAAGATACATGTCTGTAGACGGACTTACAGATATAGGTCTGTAGATTGATCTATAGATAGATCTACAGATACAGGTCGTAACTTAATTTACCACAGGTTTTTAGGGCTGTAAAAAAATGGTACTTGGGGACGTTAAACTATTGTTAGTTTACTTTTATAAGATTCTTTCAAAGTTTTCTGCTGGTTCAGACGTGTGATTTAGGTATATTTTTATGTAGAGATTTATTTTTAGTGCTTAATAATATAATAATAATAGTTTCACTTAATTTAAAATTAAGAAAATATGTGTTAAAATTGTCTAGATAAAAATCCGTTGTCAAATAACACGGTTGTTAGACTCGAAAATCTTACGTGGAACATACTGTGTATAATATAGTATACAATGTGTTTCCGGATAGTTGAATCGACTTTGTAAAAGATTAAAAAAAATTTGATTTAAATTTTATTTTTTTGGTTTTTAGCCCTGCGTATTTAAAGATTAATTTTTAACACAATTTTAATTTTGAAAAATTAAGTATGCCTTGCAAATTAAAAAAATATATTGGTTATGATAGTTTTAGAGAAATGTGGCTTATAATTTGTCTTGGAAAAATTCGGGGCTTTAAAAATAATCTTAAAACCTGACCTTTCGAAATGTGGTAGGTAGGAATTTTCGGGAAAATTAAATCGTTCCAGAATAAGCTTTTACACACCTGACTCCCTCGAATTTTGTCGAAAATTTTCCAAATAAACATTTAAAAAATATGAAAAATACAGTTTCAAGTGAATTTATTCAAATAATCTGTTTTTTTTTCGCTTTTTGTGATTTTCGTATCGTTTTGAAGTCACGGCTAAATAGTCAATCTCGACAAGATATAAATTAAATATAATTTAAAAAGTTTCATGAAAATTTCTATGAAAATTAAGTTTTTATGTGAAATTAGGCAAGTCACTTATTTTTATGTGTGCTATAGCATATCTCAGTTGTACAAAAATCGGAGAATTCCATTTTTTATTATTTTTTGTAGCCGAAAAGTACTGCACCTTGATCGAGAAAGAGGGCGGTTTGGAGTTGCTACAAGAATTGATCGAGCACCCCTCGCCCCCGGCACCGGTGAAAAATTTAGCTCATATGGTGATAGAGAACTGCAGGAGGTTCAAGGAGCAGGAATGGACGGATTTGGAGGCACACGTGGAGGTCCAGCTCGACGGTTGATTTGTTATTTTTTTTATATTTACTTTATCAATATTGAAGGAAAATTCTCTTGTGATTACGTTAATTATATAATTATATATTTTTTTTATTTCTTCAGGGGTAACCGTAACCACATTTATTGCGCATGTGGACTGTTAGTTGAGTAATTACTGTACATAATTTATTTCCAATATGATGTATTAAATGGGTTAGCCTTACTCTGTGGAATTAGTTTCTCTATTTTATCATGACATTATTATTTTTATGTTATTATTTATGCCATTTAATTATATTTTATTTATATAACTTTAGGTTTTTTATCTGTCCTATWATCACCCGTGTTTGCGGAAGTCGTGTGAAGGCACTTTTCGGCGAATTTGTTACAGCTTGAATAAATAATTTAATAAATCATTTTTTGTTTTCTTAACATTCATCTTTATTATTTTGAGGTAAGTATAACTCTGAGTGGGGGTTTCACTTGCAACCAATTGCACAGGCGATCTAGAAACTATTTATTATCGGCGTATTTAAACCAAAATAAATTTATTTTGTCAGTACTCAAAATGATAGTGTTACCRGTTACTGTTACAAAGTTAAATCATTGTAGAATTGATTTTTGATTGTGTAAATAGTAAATTATTAGTTATTTTATTTTGGAAAATGACCAGGAAGGAAGTACAAAACACGTGGTAATTTTTGTTCTTTTAAGTTTCAACTGAAAACCAGAAAAATCTCAAGTTCTAACGTAATTTTGTTCAAGTGAACTTAATTTTTAATTCAAAACGTGTAAAGCTTTTTTTCTATCTTTCAGAAAAAATTACTAGTGCAACAGGCATATTTAATTACTATTTTTTAATGTCAATCTAATACGGTTTTTTCTACAAACACTGTCTTAAGTCTTAAAATTACGACAATGTAAGTAAAATAAAAGTTTCACACCCCTTTTTTCAAAGCAAATAGTAGAAACAAGTAGATCTACAGCCACAGGTCTCTAGACAGATCTACAGATACAAGTTTTCAGATAGATCTAGAGCTATAGTCTTTTAGATAAATGTACAGATAGATCTAGAGGCTTTCTTTTATAAAAAAAATTACTAGTGCAACAACAGGCATATTAAATTTATTTTCTTATTAATCTCAATCTAATATCGTTTTTCCTAGAAACACTGTCTTAAGTCTTAAAAATTATCACAATGTAGGTAAAATAAAAGTTTCACACACTTTATAAGAACTTTTTTTAAATCAAATAGTTTAAGCAAAAAATGCGTGTCCTATTTTTCGATGCAATGTAAGCAAACAATCGCCTTTATTTTTAATAAAACAAGGAATAAGAATGAGTCAAAATAACTTAGAGTCAATCATCATTACTGTCTCAGTGATGAATTATGAATGTCAACACCCGWATTTCATAAATCTGAATCGGAATTTATAGTTTCGCATCCTGTTATTCTTGCCGATTTGAAGAATCTGTTTATGAAACGTCAAAAATAGCCGCGATTAAAAATTTCTTAAGTCGCAATAATGGCCAGACGCCCATGCACCCATTAATCGACTTTTACGACAAATTTCCAGAAAATATTAAGGTGTTTCACTTATGTGATAAATGGCCGAGTAACGTCGACCACGATTCATCACGAAAGATATAAGTGAAGTGTCAACATAATAACGTTTAGTGGTAATTTACTGAAGCCTTTCAGGGATGCGAAATTCACCCCGCTACCACGCAGAACACTTACAAGGTTGCGTAGAGAAAATTTTAGTCAGGAAAATAATTGCGCAGATTTATGCGTGATTTATGGACTATAAATATGTGTTGAATGTTTGCATTTCTAATAAAAATAGAGAAACGCTTAAAAAGCGGTTATTTACATAATCTTGAGACATTTTCACTTTGAGAAAATTTCTAGAAAAAAATCTATATGAAATTTGTCAAACTCTATTTCACCTCAAAAAAAGAAATTTTTTTTTTAAATGACAACACTTCCAGTTATA